TCTGGTAGAGCTGTCTGGGTATGGAGCAGAGTAAGTCAGTCACCCTTTTTAAAGCATCCTGTTGGGAGGGTGGCAGCTCCACTCTGACTCTAAAGTAGGGTTATGGCTTAATAGCACAATTTATCCCTAAATCTCTAACTCTTGTAGTTCCTAAAGTATCTGCTGCTAAACTCATGTCAGAACTGAAATGGAGTGGAAAGCAATACAGTAATTGGAATGATGTGATTTTGAAGCAGGGGTGGGCAAATTTTTTTGGCCCGAGGGCCACATCTGGGAATAGAAATTGTATGGCGGGCCTTGAATACTCACAAAATTGGGGTTGGGGTGTGGGAGGGGGTGAGGGATTCAGGGTGTGGCCAGAAATGAGGAGTTCAGGATGCGAGAGGGGGCTCCGGACTGAGGGTGGGAGGATGAGGACTCCGGTTTGGGATGCGGGCTACTGGGATGAAAAGTTTGGGGTGTAGAAGGGTGCTCCGGGCTGGGACTGAGGGGTTTGGAGGGTGGGAGGGGGATCAGGGCTGGGGGGTAGGGTACAAGAAGGAGTGCAGACTCTGGCTAGGGGTGCGGGCTCTGGTGTGGAGCTGGGGATGAGGGTTTTGGGGTGAAGGAGGGTGCTCCAGGCTGGGATTGAGGGGTTCAGAGTGGGGAGGGAGATCAGGGCTGCAGGGTTTGGGGCATGGGGGGTTGATGGGGTGCAGGTTCTAGGTATTGCTTACTTCCTAGCGGCTCCCAGAAGCAGCGGCATGTCCCTTCTCTGGCTCCTACGTGGAGGCTGCACCATCTGCAGGCACCGCCCCAGCAGCTCCCATTGGCTGTGGTTCCAGGCCAATAGGATATGCGGGGGTGGTGCTTGGAGCGGGGGCAGCGTGCAGATTAGAGCCCTCTGGATGACCCTATGCGTAGGAGCCGGAGGGGGGCCATGCCGCTGCTTCCGGGAGCCACGTGGAGAGACCCCCGACCCTGCTCCCTGGCTGGAGCGCCAGAGCGGGGCAAGCGCCAGTCCCCGCTCCCCAGGGGAAGCTCGAGAGCCGGATTAAAACGGCTGATCGGCTGTAGTTTGCCCACCCCTGTTTTAAAGTCTGATATCTTGTGAATGGCCAAGAATAGAAACACTTGCCAGTACAAAAGCTTTTAAGGGCAGAAAATATTTACAAACACTGAGTGAGGTTTTCAAAGCTGAGTAGAGGATTCAGCTACACAACTCCCATTAAATAAAGGTTCACTTTCCTAGTCAGCTTTGAAAATCTCAAACACTGTTCCTACTGGGCTGGTGAGCAAAAAGAAAAATAACAATTCCTGCTGAAAACATATTACCTTAAATCCAAAAATCACCCAGTAAAGGTTTTTTTTTTAAAAAAACTTCAATGTAGCTACTATCCTATCACAGGATACCAGTCTCAGTGTATTGCACCAAAAATATTCGTGTTTTTTTTTATTGAAACAATAGGTAAAACACTTTAAAAAGATGTTATGTCTGACTTTCAGCTAGTCCGATGTTCAGCATTCCACACACAGCGGGTTCACTTAAGAAGTTTCTGTTGGCTTGACAGAGATTTCTCGTTCCAGCAGTATTCCCCATTTTAAATGCAAGGAATCTCTCTCAAACTGGTGGAGTCTTTCAAAATAAAAGAAACTTTTTAAGTTCAGCCACTGTAAATATTATATTTGACAGAGGAAATAACATCTTTTTACATGCCTACAGTGGTTGCCTACTGTAGTCACATTATTTAGTTATCTAAGGAAATTGGCAAGTTTTTGAAGGAGACCAACATATTGGATAAAAACCTTAGATAAGCATATAGATCTGGTTATTTTGCTTCCGTTTTATCCCTGTTAGCACATTTTCCTTTGGCAAATCCAATAAGAGCAGACCAGTAGCTGTTTCAGAGAAAATACTCTTTTCTGGTTGACCGCTAGTAAGTGCTGATGGCTGGAGTAATTTATATGCTCTTATTGGGCCAAAGGCCAAGTAATAAGAGTGTTTTCTCAGCCAGACTATCCATAATAGAATGATGCCTAGTTTGGCTCACAGGCATCTTTTTGAAATACAGTGAAATTTGGATGGGCCATAGATTTTAAATCTAGTTCCTGTTTCAGAAAGACTGCAATGTTAATCACTTTAGGTTGGTTTAAAAATTTAAAAAGGCAAATAAAACTACATTTCGTATATTTATCCCAGTTACTGGTGCTTTATATAGGGAGTCAAATTCTTTCCTGTTGCATTCATGCACCCTGCTGATTTCAAAGCTGTTGCATCCATGGGACTGAAAGCAGAACTTGCCCCAGAAATGGAGCTCAGTAGCTGAGTGGACATAAAAAAAATGACAGAATGGAAATTAAATCAGAAGGAACTTGTCCAGTGCCAGAAATAAGCTACGAGATCATGAAGGCTATTTTTCTGGCTTTCAGAACTTTTTCAGTAAACTTGAATGATGGTAGCATCCCAAATAATTTATTTTTCTACGATAGTCAATGATTGAGCTATTTTAGTCTAATAAAATGAAGACTTCATTGGCCTTATTTAAGCATTTCTTTACTTGGCTGAGACTTTCACTGCATCTCTTCATTAACAATAAGCAAAATAATGAAAAAAAAGGATCTTTTCTTCTCTTCTCTCCCTCCCAAATTAACATTTCAGATAAACTTATTTTCCCCATTATCACTGCGCTGTGCTTATCAATCTTGCCAGCCTTGCATATGCCAACATGACTTGAATGTGGCCTCATACAAAAACATTATAGGAGGGAAGTAAATCTTTGCTTCTCTGTTCTAATGTGGAAGGAATGTGGGCTTTCCAGCCAAGGTTTGGATTTTGTCTTCTCCTATTTATTTTAAATCTTTTCAGACAAAGAAGGAGACATTCACTGTTGCACCCATATTGTTAACTTTTGAACTGAGGTGCTTAAAATGAAAATACATGTTTAGCTGGAATTTGTATCATCTGAATCAGGGAAAAAAGCCTGGCTAGGAGCCCCTGGATATCCTGGTTTTAGTGGCTATGCAGACCCCAACGTATAAGATACAATTGGCAAAACAGGACAGAAATACAGATGGTAACATTTAAATGCTATGGGTTTGTTATTTTTTTCATAAGTCATTGAAGAATATGTGCAAATCAGAATTCTGAAAATTATTCTGCAAGATGGATGGGTGACAGAGCAAGACTGTTGAGCTCAGCAAGACATTAGCTAACAGCATTCAAGTAGAGTCTAGCAGGGATCAGTTCTGGGTCTGGTTCTGTTCAATATCTTCATCAATGATTTAGATCGGTTGTTCCACAACTTGTTCCGCCGCTTGTGCAGGGAAAGCCCCTGGCGGGTCGGGTCGGTTTGTTTACCTGCCGCGTCCGCAGGTTCGGCCGATTGCGGCTCCCAGCGGGAGTAGTAGTAGTAATGTTCCTGAAAAATGTGACTTTAAGCGAAACGATGTTAAGCTAATCCAATTTCCCCATAAGAATTAATGTAAATGGGGGGGTTAGGTTCCAGGGAAATTTTTTTCACCAGACAAAAAAGCGAGATATATATATCTCTTAGCTTAACATCGTTTCGCTTAAAGTCGCATTTTTCAGGAACATAACTACAACGTTAAGCGAGGAGTTACTGTACATAAAAGGCTTGTTACAAGGAAGACAGAGAAAAAAATTTCTCTTTAACCTCTGAGGATAGGACCAGAAACAATGGGCTTAAATAGCAACAAGGGCAGTTTAGGTTGGAAATTAGGAAAAACTTCCTGTCAGAGTGGTTAAGCACTGGAATAAATTGCCTAGGGAGGTTGCAGAGATTTTAAAGAACAGTTTAGACAAACACCTGTCAGGGATGGTCTAGATAATACTTAGTTGAGTTTTGAGAGAAGGGGACTGCACTAGAAGACCTCTCAAGGCTCCCTCCAGTCCTACGATTCTATGATTGTTCATCCTTCTAGCAGATAATTAGGGAGTTGGAGATTTAGGGCCCTAATTCATGAAGTCAATGGGACTTCTTAAAGGTTGGCACATACTGTTTGTGATACTTTGAAATGAACCCTAACCTTTAGAAGAAGAAAGTCTGCAAGTGAAACACTTGGAAAAAGCCGTGGAAAGCCATAAGTGCAGGGGTTTCTCCTTTGTTGAGAGAGGATGGCTCTGAAATGGGCATATAAGGTGATCTGCACCCTATGTGCATGGTGGAACTGGGCTCTGCCCTGGACCTGCATGGCCCACTGTGGAAAAGTGGTTAGGGACAGACCAGGGATGTGACGACTGGTGTCTATCTGATGTCTATATCCTCTAGCGTCTAGTTCATGAGTTCTCAACTGTGTGGTTGCAAACAGGTGTCATACTACTCTTCCCATATTGCTAAATGGGAGAGAGATCCTGGCTAGACGGGAGGGGAGAACTGGTGTGTATCCTGGTATGGAAAGGGTTTAGAAGCACCGTGGCCTCGTCAGCTTTGAAAAATGTATTTTAAATATCTACAGTGTAACCCTCATTTCAGCACATTCTAAGCTGACTGACTCTTCTGAGCCCAGCTTTCATTTAAAGGTGGTGAAGTGGGTACATAAAACTGATATGAAAGACAATCATCTCACTTGAACCTCCTCTGTGTACATGACTAGAAACGGGTTTGACACACGAAGTTTGAATGCAAATGCTGATCCAAAGTTAAGGTGTTTGGATCTAGGATATTTGATGAGGCACATCTCTATCCATGGCTTGCTATCTTGTTGATTGATTTGTTTTCAATTCTGTTATTCTCTTTTCTCTTTTTTTATTACAATCACCGTTGTCATCATAGTTTGCTCCTGGGTACCATGCTATTTGTCATATATCCCATCTGGCATAGCAAAGCAATCCACATACAGAGAGTGTTATGGGTGATTACATTTTCTAATGTGAAGCCAAGAATAATTCTGATCCAGCTACAATAAATTAATCCCCAAGAAGGGTCCTACATCTTGAAGTGTAACATATCAAAGGTGATTACATTGCTGGCAGAACTAGGACATTTGAAAAACTAGCTCACCCATAAAATGTGAGACGCAGGAAACCAATCCTTTTGCCAAGTTTAACCAACTCTCCCTGTCTAGTGACAGCTCCTGTTAACAGCACAATTCCTACTTTTTTAAGGGTGGAAAGCCACTTGTAGGCACTTTCATCACTGTGTAAGACTTCTTCAAAAGACATATTTGGGAGCTGCAGATCTGAGCCCCAATATTTACATTCTGTAAGACAAAAAATATTGAAGCAAACTTTTAGTTATTATCTTTATTATTTCTTATTTGTATCACTGTAGTTATTTCAATGTTCAAGGTTAGGACATATTCACAATATTAAACTATTTTAAAGTAATGCTTTACTTTTGTGTGTTTCTGAATATGGTCCCGGTCTTGAAATTAGATTTGCATGACAGGACCCACGTGGAGCCTTTGGTATGTACATATCACAAATAAACAGTTTTCTAGAAGTAAAATACATCAAACAAATAACAAATGACATTTTAACCATGTATAATCTGAAAGGAATATTACACTGCAAAACATAAAGCAGAAGTGCCTCTCTCTCTCTCTGAATATATGGACTAGAAGAGTGAAAACTGTCAATACTCAGTTTCTTTAATAAAAACAATGAGGAGTACTTGTGGCACCTTAGAGACTAACAAATTTATTTGGGCATAAGGTTTTGTGGGCTAAAACACACTTCATCAGATGCATGGAATGGAAAATACAGTAGCAAGATATATATATACATAGTACATGAAAAGATGGGGGTGGCCTTACCAATTCTAACAAATTTATCCTCACCCAAAATTATTTCATATTTGGGGACAATGTATACCTTCAAGTCAGTGGCACTGCTATGGGTACCTGTATGGCTCCACAGGATGCCAACATTTTTATGGCTTCCTCAGCTCTCATCCCCTAATGCCCTTACTCCACTTGCACTACATTGATGACATCTTCATCATCTGGACCCATGGGAAAGAAGCCCTTGAGGAATTCCACCAGGATTTCAACAATTTCCATCCCACCATCAACCTCAGCCTGGACCAGTCTACACAAGAGATCCACTTCCTCGACACTACAGTGCAAATAAGCGATGGTCACATAAACACCACCCTATACCGGAAACGTACTGACCGCTATAATTACCTACATGCCTCCAGCTTTCATCCAGACCACATCACACAATCCATTGTCTACAGCCAAGCTCTAAGATACAACTGCATTTGCTCCAATCCCTCAGACATAGACAAACACCTACAGGATCTCTATCAAGCATTCTTAAAATTACAATACCCACCTGCTGAAGTGAAGAAACAGATTGACAGAGCCAGAAGGGTACCCAGAAGTCGCCTACTACAGAATAGGCCCAACAAAGAAAGTAACAGAACACCACTAGCCGTCACCTTCAGCCCCCAACTAAAACTTCTCGAGCGCATCATCAAGGATCTACAACCTATCCTGAAGGACGATTCCTCACACTCACAGACCTTGGGTGACAGGCCAGTCCTCGCTTACAGACAGCTCCCCAACCTGAAGCAAATACTCACCAGCAACCACACATCACTGAACAAAAACACTAACCCAGGAACCTATCCTTGTAACAAACCCCGTTGCCAACTCTGTCCACATATCTATTCAAGGGACACCATCATAGGACCTAACCACATCAGCCACACCATCAGGGGCTCGTTCACCTACACATCTACCAATGTGATATATGCCATCATGTGCCAGCAATGCCCCTCTGCCATGTACATTGGCCAAACTGGACAGTCTCTACGCAAAAGAATAAATGGACACAAATCAGACAACAAGAATTATAACATTCCAAAGCCAGTCAGAGAACACTTCAGTTTCCCTAGACACTCAATAAAAACCTACTGACCGCTACACTTACCTACATGACTCCAGCTTCCATCCAGACCACATCACACAATCCATTGTCTACAGCCAAGCTCTAA